AGAACTAGTATTAAAAGACATTGAAGCTATCAAAATTAGAAGCCCATGTAATCCTAAGGACCTGGAAGCGGGCCTTAAGTCTTTACTTATGAATAAAGATCTTGTAATAAGACCCGCATACAGTATAAGGGAGGAGGGGTGGTAATTCTAAGCAAATCAGATTACATGATGGAAGCTCAGAAAATTCTTGATGATAAGGATACGTATACTATATTACCTAAAAATCCTATCGTTATGTATAAACGGTCTCTGAAAAATGTAATAAATAAAGGTTATGAGCTTAATGTTATCAACAAAAGAGAAAAAGAATACCTGTGCCCTAAAGCACCTAGACTGCCTGTATTTTACTGCCTCCCTAAAATACATAAAGACCCTATACACCCCCCTGGCAGACCTATCATCAGTGGGATAGTTTCCCTTTGTTCCAGAGTTGGGGAGTACATAGACTTTTTCTTGCAACCTTTAGTCTTATCTACTCCCTCATATATTAAGGACACCAAACAAGTGCTAAATGATATTGGGGCCCTTAGATTGGGGCCCTGAGATGGAATTCTGACCTTAGAACCTTTCTTGTCACAGCGGACGTAACCTCTCTGTATAGTAATATTGATCACAAGGATGGCATGATTGCAGCCAACTATTACCTTGACTTGGCCGACAATATCTCCACGAATCATAAGGCATTTATTTTGGAGTTATTAGATTTCGCAATGCGGAAAAACTATTTCTGGTAAAATAATGTTTTTTATTTACAAACCAGAGGCGTCGCGATGGGGGTGAAATTTGCCCCTAGTTTGGCCAATCTGTTTATGGCCAGGTGGGAGGAGGACATCATCTATTCTAGGAAGTGGCCAGAGCTACTGTTCTATAAACACTATGTAGATGATGTCCTCCTTCTATGGCAAGGAGAGGAAACAGCCTTAGTGAACTTTTTTGGTACACTAAACAATAACAACTTGAATATTAAGCTGACATTCGAATATAGCACTGATAAGGTTAATTTCCTGGTTGTTACCATACTTAACAAAGGAGGTTATTGCACAACTGAGGCTTTTTTCAAAAAAAAAACAGACAGGAAGGGATACATCCCCACTAGCAGCTGTCATCACCCACAATGGCTGGCCAATATTCCTAAGAGTCAGTTCATGAGGGTCAGACGTACAGTTGCAAGAAAAAGTATGTGAACCCCTTGGGATTACGTGGAGTTTTGCATGAATTGGGCATAAAATGTGCTCTGAACATCATCTAAGTCACAACAATAGAAGAACACAGTCTGCTGAACATAATACTACACAAAATTAGATGTTGCCATGGTTTATTTGCACATAACATGTAAACATTCACAGTGCAGGGAGGAAAAAGTATGTGAACCTTTGGACTTAATAACTTGTTGACCCTCCTTTGGCAGCAATAACCTCAACCAAACGTTTCCTGTAGTTGCAGATCAGACCTGCACAATGATCTGGGGTCATTTTGGACCACTCCTCTTCACAAAACTGTTTCAGTGTAGCAATATTCTTGGGATGTCTGGTGTGAATCGCTCTCTTAAGGTCATGCCACAGCATTTCAGTCGGGTTGAGGTCAGGACTCTGACTGGGCCACTCCAGAAGGCGTATTCTGTGCTGTTGCAGCCATTGTTTTGTTGAATGACTTGTATGCTTTGGGTCATTGTCCTGTTGCATCACCCATCCTCTGCGGAGCTTCAGTTGGTGGACAGATGGTCGTACGTTTTTTCCTGCAAAATGTCTTGATAAACTCTGGAATTCATTTTCCCATCAATGACAACAATCCGTCCAGGCCCTGAGGCAGCAAAGCAGCCCCAAACCATGATGCTCCCTCCGCCATGTTTTACAGTGGGGATGAGGTTTTGATGTTGGTTGTGCTGTGCCTTTTTTTCTCCACACATAGTGTTTTGTGTGTTCTTCCCAAACAACTCAATCTTGGTTTCATCTGTCCACAGTATATTTTGCCAGTAGTGCTGTGGAACATCCAGGTGCTCTTTTGCAAACTTCAAACGTGCTGCAATATTCTTTTTGGACAGCAATGGCTTCCTCCGTGGTGTCCTCCCATGTACTCCATTCTTGTTTCATGTTTTCCTTATTGTAGATGTGTCAACAAAAATGTTAGCATGTGCCAGAGATTTCTGTAGGTCTTTAGCTGACACTCTGGGATTCTTCTTTACCTCATGCAGCATTCTGCGCTGTGCTCTTGCAGTCATTTTTACAGGACGACCGCGCCTAGGGAGAGTAGCAACAGTGCTAAACTTTCTCCATTTGTAGACAGTCTGTCTTACCCGTGGACACATGAACATCAAGGCTTTTGGAGATACTTTTGTAACCCTTTCCAGCTTCATGCAAGTCAACAATTCTTGATCGTAGGTCTTCTGAGAGCTCTTTTCTGCGAGGCATGGTTCACATCAGACAGTGCTTCTTGAAACCAGTAAACCCAAAACAAGTGTGTGTTTTTTAAGGGCAGGACAGCTGTCAGCAACACATCCAATATCATCACACTGATTGAAGTCAAGGTTGGCTCACTCCTGGCTCCAATTTGCTCTGGGAGAAGTCATTAAGCTAGGGCCTCACATACTTTTTCCTCCCTGCACTGTGAATGTTTACATGTTATGTGCAATTAAACCATGGCAACATCTAATGTTTGTGTAGTATTATGTTCAGCAGACTGTGTTCTTCTATTGTTGTGACTTAGATGACGTTCAGAGCACATTTTCTGCCCAATTCATGCAAAGCTCCACGTAATCCCAAGGGGTTCACATACTTTTTTTGCAACTGTATATCTCTTATGAGACTCCTAATACCGGTATTTATCCATACCAGACAAAGCTCTCATTTTTCATGATTTACTATTTTTTAAACTTTTTATGGAATTTACTTTTTATGGAATTTACTCACTAATTATTTGAGACGTAATGTGTATATGTATATGTCAATGTTTTTTTTTTCATTCTTATTTATATAACTTGCCTTCCTCGTACGTGTGGCTTAATGATCACATATGGGAGGAATGCAAAGATTTTAACTTACATGCCCATTTGCATTGTTACAACTGTGTGTGCCTATGTCCGCACAGTATTATTATTATTTCCATAATCATTTCTGTCACCAGTAAAATGGCGATCGCGACACTCGTGCATGCGCGATCCTATGCGCGCCGGCCATGTCCACGATCTCCAGTAATATGACGATCGAGACACTCGCGCATGCACAGTTCTATGCGCGTCAGCCATGTCTACGATCTCCTATAACATGGCGCCTGCGACGCTAGCACATGCGCAGTGGCGCAAATCTCGGGCAAGATGGCGCGCGCTCATTTCCATGCGCTTCTCCCTATAAATAGAATCAAAAGACGTCAGGCGGCCACGGCATCACCCCTACAGTAGATGTATGGTTATACGAAACGCGTCTAGGAGGAGGCCTTGCACGCCTTGACGTCACGCCGCCGGATCAGGGAGGTCCGGCGACATCCATTTGTTCTTATACTGGTCAGTGTATTCAGCAGTTTCATACTGCGCTTCTATTACACCCACAGTCACTCTGTGTTGTGATATACTTATGTATACCGCCTACTTTTATGCTCAATAAATACTTGACTTACTACACTATGGGTATTTATACATTTGTTGCTCTGCACTAAGCATTTAACCCCAGCCCAGGACCTCAGATGATCCAATTGGACCAGAGGAGGAAGGTGATAGACCAGACCTATACTAACCATCTGATTGAGGGACCCCCTGGAGGACATCAATATTCCACCGACCTTTATCAGACCTCCAGCCTTTTTGGATTTCTACATGCGCATTAAGATTGGGCTTCTGGTTAGTGGGCAATCTTATCACTTTCTCACTGGATACCGCACTGGAATTTATTACAGAACTGTCACATCAGCACTCATTATTATTATCATTGAGGGGCCCGTCAACTCATTACTACATTCAACACATGCATTTCTATCATATATGAGTTTTCATTAGTTTTTATTTGCATTTTAGCTCTGCACTATATTGTCTTTATTTGGCTTGCTATTGAATGGTTTTGTGGTTCCTTTTTTAGTGCATTTAGCTGCTCACATATGCGCTCGCTAGGCCTCTACACATTTTGTGCATAGGAAAAGTTATGAGCAAAATTTGAGTTATGAGAGATTCTGGCTCTAGTTGAGGTATCTGCCCGACGATCCCTCCCTAAATGGGGCATTGGTCCTTGACTTCAAAGACACCCCCTGCTAGGGAACCACAAAATGGGCTGTCAGGCCTAAGAGAGCTAAGTTGAAGAATTCTCCCTTTTAACATCAGGACCACCTGGGGAGACCCGTGCCCTTTTGCTCTGAAACTTGATCTGTTAACCCAGGACTTTGACAAGTACTTTAACCGTTTAACCTCTCCCTGTTATCTCTTTGCTGTGCTGTTGTTCTCTGTATATTTATATATATATTGGTTAAATCTTTGTTCTGTAAATATTTTTTTTGCACCTCTTTTTAACTTTTCAGTAATAAATCTTTCCTTCTGAAAGTGTTGAAGTGTTTCTATAGCTCTTAATTGCAATTTACGAATTCCTGCCTCTTAAAAGAACGCTACTGTGTTTGTTTAACCCTCTGTATAACTGGCCTGCGGTGACCGAGTTATACAGACGATTACCTCAACCATTATAGTGTTATTGCGGATATCGCAATTTTTCTCTGTACAACAAGGAGGTGGTGGCAGTGTGAAGGGTTATTTGCGTAGTTAACCTGACCCAGTAACAATTGCTCAGCCTGCCGGTACATCAATTGTGGTCCATTAGCCGGAAAACATTGTGCAGGCTGCGGCTGGGTGTGGCATTTTTACGCACGTGACATCGCGACTTCAGATTGGTCAGTCCTTCGGTCACGAGTTTGGTGACAGCGTGTCCGTCACATATTGCCGTGTCCGTCCCATATTGGTGACAGCGATCGTGGGATTGTCACATATTGGTGGCAGCGATCCTGCGTTCGTCACAGGCACCACTGCAGGGCACTGATCATCAGGGTACTGATCATCAGTGCCGATCTGTTCTGTGACATATGCCGGTTATCGGCATTACCGTATTTTACGGCGTATAAGATGACTTTTTATACTTAAAAACATACCCCAACAATTGGGGGTCGTCTTATACGCGGGGTATAGAATGTCAGCCTGCTAGATGTGCGGTAATACTGTACGGTAGCTTCGGCTACATACAGTATACCGCACTGAGCCAATCACGGCGAGCGATGTATTCTATTAATGAATACAGAGCCTGCTTGGATTGGCTGAAGTTGTGACATCATCAGCCCGCCTCCCTGACGCAGCCAATCCGAGCAGGCTCTGTATTCATTAATAGAATACATCACTTGCCGTGATTGGCTCATATGACGTCCTCCCATTCTCCGCGTATGCGCGGCTCAGGGAGCGCGCAGCAATCGGCGGTGCGCTGTGTCCCTCTGACACAGCGGATCACCGATCATGGAAAGAGCTGATGATGTCGGCTCGGTCATGTGATCAGCTGTGTCCAAAAACAGCTGATCACATGTAAACAGGGAAATGCCGGTTATCGGCATTTCTCTCCTCTCAAGCTTTTACGCTGACAGAGGAGAGCCGGTAATCAGCTTTCCGCGGAGGGGACATGTACACTGAACATCAGGGCACTGATGATCAGTGTGCCCTGATGATCAGTGTAGCCCCAGCAGTGCCACCTGTCAGTGTCCATCAGTGCCACGTGCCAGTGCCCATCAGTGCCACATCAATGCCACATATCAGTGCATACCAGTGCACATCAATGCCACATATCAGTGCCCATCTGAGCTGCCTTTCAGTGTCACCCATCAGTGCCACCTATCAATGCCAATCAATGCCACCTATCTGTGCTGCCAATCAGTGCCACCTATTAGTGCCAGTCAGTGCCACCTATCAGTGCCATGTATCAGTGCTGCCTTTCAGTGCCCATTAGTGATGCCTGTCAATGCCCATCAGTGCCACCTATCAGTGCTGCCAATCAGTGCCACCTATCAGTGCCAGTCAGTGCCGTCTATCAGTGCACATCAGTGCCACCTATCAGTGCCAATCAGTGCCGCCTGTCAGTGCCGCCTACCGGTGCCGCCTATCAGTGCCACCTAACAGTTCCAGTCAGTGCTGCCTATCAGTGCCAGTCAGTGCCGCCTATCAGTGCCATGTATCAGTGCTGCATTTCAGTGCTCATCAGTGATGCTTGTCAATGCCCATCAGTGCCACCTACCAGTGCCTCCTCATCAGTGCCCATCAGTGCCACCTATCAGTGTCCATCAGTGCAGCCTATCAGTGCCCATCACTGCAGCCACATTAGCCACTTGAGCTCCTGAGGATTTACCCCCCTTAATGACCAGGCCTCTTTTTGCTACTCGGCGCTGCACTAATTCAACTGATAATTGCACGGTCATGCAATGCTGCACCCAAACGAAATTTACGTCCTTTTTTTCACACAAATAGAGCTTTCTTTCGGTGTAATTTGATCACCTGTGCGCTTTTTATTTTTCACGCTATAAACAAAAAAAGGCCAAAAATTTTGAAGAAAAACAATATTTTTTACTTTCAGCTATAAAAAATATATAGTAAACTCAAAGTTGGTTATAAATTTAGGCCAAAATGTATGCTGCTACATGTTTTTGGTAAAAAAAATCCCAATAAGTGTATATTGATTGCTTTGTGTGGAAGTTATAGCGTCTACAAACTATGGTATAAATACTGCAATTTACGCCATTTTTCTGCTATACAGCGCTGCGCTAGTTTAACGGACAATTGCGCGGTCATGCAATACGGTACATAAATGAAATTTACATCCTTTTTTTCCCCACAAATTGAGCTTTCTTTCGGTGGTATTTGATCGCCTGTGCGTTTTTTATTTTTTGCGCTATAAAAAAAAAGGCTGACAATTTTGAGGACAAAAACCAAATGGTGGGAAAGATACTGGGATTTTTTTTTTATTTGAACTAATAATGGCGCCGATCAGCGACTTTTGGCGGCAATCAGCGACATATGGCGGCGACCAGCGACTTATGGCAGGACTGCGGGACTGCGGCGGACATTTTGACACGGGGGGGGGAACTGACTTGGGTCACTGACATCCCCAGTGACACCAATACAGTGACCAGTGTGTACTGGACGGGGGGAGGGAGGGGGGAGCTGATCGAGGGAAAGAAACTCTGCAGCTTCTCACAAGCTGTCAGAGAACTGACACAGAACAGGGCTGTGTGTAAACAATGCAGCCCTGCTCTGTGTCAGCGATCACCGTCAATCGCGGGAAAACGGCCGGTAAAAACTGTCCGTGACCCGTCGGCTGACACCCGCTGCTGACACCCGCGAGACAGGTAGGGCGGGCCCGCGCCTCGCACGCGCCCCCTACCTGTTTTGAAGGCAGCCGTTTTAAAATGTGCTTTTGCCTACGAGTGCCGCCCTGCCACCGTTTATATGCGGTGGCTGGGCGGCAAGTAGTTAGCGCACATCAGTGAAGGAGAAAAATCATTTATTTACAAAATTTTAGAACAAAAACTATGAAAAAACATTTTTTTTTTTGAAAATTTTCAGTGGTTTTTGGTTTGTTTAAGAAAAAATAAAAAACCCAGAGTTGATTAAATTTGTTGCATGAAAGCTGAAAATTGGCCTGGGCAGGAAGTGGGTATAGGTGCCCTGTAGGCTTGTGGTTAATGGTGTTGCCTCAGAAGGGGGGTAGTCTTATACGACGAGTATAGCCCAAAACCTATGTTTTAACTGGAAAATTAGGGGGTCGTCTTATACACCCAGTCGCCTTATACGCCGGCAAATACGGTACTTTCCTCACACTGTGACAGTGTGCGGAAAGTGCTGCTGATAACTGGCAGCTGTATTTACTCCGTGATCTGCTGTCATTGGATACATTGGCCTTTTACCTCATCCCATGATCAGCTGTGGCTGTAGGACACAGAGATCACGGAGATCACTGGGTGTGCGCCACTGGGGGTGCGCAGGAGGGCGTGTTCTGGGAAGATGTCAAGTTAGGCCCTCCCAGAACTGGACAACCGTGCTGTAGCCATCATTCGGCTATAGTGTGGTTAGCAAGTGGTTAATAAAGAGGCAAGAGTGGATGGTCTATGCTTTGAGGGGCTTGATGAATCCTGGGTTGGATCAATCACCCCCGTTAAAGTCTCCACAGATTAGAAGGGGGGCATTTTTATAGGGTAATAGTTTTGAGTTTAGCAGTTTGTAGAATTTTCGCCAGAAGGAATTGGGAGCATAAATGTTGGCTAATGTGAGGGAATGATTCAATAGTAGCAGAAATAATTAAATATCTACCTTCAGGGTCCTTTTCCATGTGATGTAGCTCAAAGGAGACCAAGACCTTTATAGCAATCATTACGCCACAGCATTTTGTTGGGTGCATTAGTGAAAAAACAATGAGGGTACAGTTTATGGGAACAGCACAGGGATTTGCCAAATTTTAAAGTGAGTTTCTTGCACACAAAAAACATCTGATTTTTGTGTAAGGGCTTCTTTAAATATGAGGTTTCTTTTATAAGGAGAGTTTAGTCTTTTGACATTGAGAGAGGTGATGGTAACAGCCATTTTGTTTAAAGTTGCTGTAGAGGGTATGCTAGGTGAACGAGGCTATTCACAGCAATGTATATATAGTAAATAGTATAGTAGGTATCAGTGAAGAAAAAAAAAAGGTTCTTATGGCAATATCTAAAGGTAGTGAATGAAGTACTAGTAATTCAGGTATTGCAATAGATCATAAAGAAATTGAATCTAAAAATGATGATATAATATACCACAATGTGTATACAGGTGTACAGCCTGTCCAGAGAAGGTAATGAGGAACAGAATCTAATGAACTAGTGTGGTTGTGCAGGACGCGGCGGCACGGCAGCCCATTCATTTGAATGGGCTGCTGTGCCTCGTAAAATGCAGGAAAAAGGTCCCTGCACTTTTCCAGAAATCACAGCCTGCTCTGGGAACTGCAGGTGCGATTTCCCAGGGTGGGCGGCATGCCATTAAGATTAATGGCACCCGCCTGTTGGTCCCGCATTTTTATGTGTAGGTGGTTGCAGCTGTGAGACGAAATGCGGGTCCCACAGTGACTTCCACCTGCACTAGTGTGAACCGAGGCTTAAACCACACAAATCATGACACACTTAATACACCATTTCAAATTATCCATTTAAGGCACACATTGCTAGTCATTACAAAATGTATTAAAATTTTTGGGAGACTGATTATATTCTAGTTTTATCAGCTCTTCAAATAAGTATTTGTTAGTATATGACCATGTTTATGAAATTATGAGATTTAATGCAGCCCATATGTCACTTCTACATAAGCAGATTCAGCAAAATGACATGGTTGGCATACATTTTCAAGAACAGATTGTACTGAAATTCACTTCTGTCATTTTTCCGGTTCCTCAGACTTGAATTAAAATCGTTGTGTAAGATATTACTTTTCAAAATAAAAACGTTTCTGAAATCTGTGAGAATACCTTTTTTATTAGGTTTTTTTCTCATTCCTGAGTGCGGCACTACAGATGATTTACATATAGATGCAAAACACATATAAGAATAAAATCAAAAGTCCAATCCACAAGGCATTGTAATATAGGGAATGAGCCCCTCTCCCCTGGATCCACAACACTTCTATGGATATCTCAAAAAACGGCCAAGAGGAAAGAGAGGAAGAATCCTTCACCACCACCAAACACACTGCCTCTTACCGGATAGTTTTGACCCCCAATTATGAATGGGTCAAATTGCGCTGTATGAAACCCAAAAGGCAAGCCAAGGATATGGGTGCTCTTTGATTCCAAATCTTCACACCAAACAAAGCTCAAGGAAAAACCTAAAAGAGAATTCTCCTCATAGAGGACAATTGCAAAGATGAAAGGATGTAGTATTTTATATATTATTGCCTCAAACGTAGTAAAAATCGTACATAATCATAAGGAAAAAACAGCATGTCACCAAGTCTTGGATGGAAAAGTTTCTAACCAGCAAGATGGCCGCCACATTCCAGTGTGCGATGATGTCACAGGCTCTGGCTCCTCCCTACGTGTTTTGTCATCAATTACGTCATCAGGGGCGTGGCCAATATCAGGACGCAGTGCATATTTATAGAGAGAAAGGAAACCCCTCCTCCGTCATTTTAATTGGACAAACACTGGAACAGGAAGATAAAACTGAGCACAAGCCCCAGGACAGCCGCAGCACATCCTGTCGTTAACCAGCAGTTAATAGCTCAAGGCAAAAAATAGGATTATTATTCCAAGTGGCCTAATTTAGAAACATGAATCCAGCCATTATTTTAGCACTGGCTTGAGCTTCTTATATCCTGCCCAGAGGTGCTGGACATTTTTTTTTCCTGTCTTCCCTGTTTGAGCAACAGTGGGAGGCAGAAAGAGGAAGGATTAAGCACTGATTGGCTGTTACAGTATATGCAGGCAAGGTGCAGGCCCTACACCTAGTAACCACCCAGGAGGTTTATGATTTTCTGCTGGCCATTCTTAGCCCTGCCTGGCTACAGGAAGGCAGGAGAAAGCCCATACCTGGATCTGTAGAGACATGTGGGGGATGTAGTACCCACCTGGAGACTTTACACTAAAGGAGATTTGGTGGGACTACAGTCTCAGGAGGAAGGTTTGCTAGCGAGAGAAGGAAAAAGGAAGGAAAAGCCTGGGTGTGGGGAGTCTCACATGGAGCTTTAGGAGAGAAGGTTGGTGGACTACTAAGATGGAGATGCTGCTTATGCCCAGAGCTAACCGTGGCACCGTGCTATTACAGTCATGCTGCCATCAGAGGGACCCAGGGAGCTGAAGGAGAGGGATGCCACTGGCTTCAAAGGAGATCATTGCTACTGAGTCCAGAGTTGCCGCCGTCATGGCCATGGCCCTTGAACATCCAGGATTTGGACACCAGAGAAAGGGAAGAGGCTGCACAGTGGACTGCATAGTTTGCATAGTGTGAGAGGCCACTGGTCTCGTTACCTTCTACTTAAAGGGAC